GGGGGGGGGGGGGGGCGTTGGTGGTGCTGGTGTCCTTAATATTGAGGGGGATGTGTCCATGTGTCCCACCCTGAAATCTACATCTCTACACCTACAACAGTAACAGAGAAATCTGTCTAGGTGTTTCTTGTATCCTACAAATAAATAGATAAAAATATTCTGCAACTTACTCCACTTATGCATCATTAAAGTAAGCTTTTGGGTCATTAACTTTTTATTAAAAGTTATCAAACCATAAGGAAACGCCAACATGCCACAGTCTTATCTGTTGCCCGTCACATTGACAGGATGCGGGGTTTGATGTGTGAGGCGAAGCTGTATGACCCAACATGCGCTTAGTCAAGTCAAGAATGAGGAAAGGCGTTCAAGTCGCGAAGTGAACAAGCCCACAGGGAGCACACAGACGATTGCTGTCAAGTCGGCTCCGTTACTCTCCAGCCATGGGAACTCTTTTACACCGTCTGGTGATGCTCTTTGTCCTTTTGTTATCGGCGTCAAACGTTTTGGGTAAGTTTTACGCATTGCGCTATTTTTTTTTTTTTTTTGTAGAAAACTTTCACCTGCTTAACCATGGGGTGTTTTCTTCCGACTTGAAGGTCATCTTTGAAGGCACCACCTATTATTAATATTCACAGTATATGTGCTGATGGTTATTCAACATAATGTTCTCAAACGGACACAACAATTCACTGTTTTCTGTCTTGAATGGAGCGGCTCTGTTGGGTTTGTAAGTGCGCTGCTCCGCTGGAGCTTTCGCCTCCTGTCCTTATAAGGGAGTGAAAATAGTCGAGATGTTTCCCAAAGTGAGGAGTCCCTCACAGGCTCCCCAGCACCGCCAAGAATAATTTTATTATCAGCATATAATAGAATATATATATATACTTAAAGCCATTGTATGTTTGTGGTTTTCATTTTTCTTGATTAACTGAAAACCTAACAAACTAGATTAATGAATAAAACACTCAGACTTTCCTATAAAGTATTAAAGTATTTTGAAATAGCTCAAGAAGTGTAGCTGAGAAACCATATCCTGTGTGGTGCTTATTCAGGCCCTTGACTGTTTGGGAATAGGTATGATGTCAGGCAGTTCTTTTAGAGTCAAATTAGGTATTTTTTCATGTATATTCTGTCAGCTGCACACAGGTAGATTAACACTAGTGGCTGTGCCTTAGTTTTAAACTCCAGTGAGCCACACCCATAGGCCAAGACAGATAACAAATTGTAAAGCCGTTTGGAATTAATGCATTTGTTGACTTTCAGGGAATTAAACGTTTGGCGCAATTTGCCAGCACAGTGAAATGATCCTCAGAAAAACATAATGAGGATCAGCATCATTAATGTGACGGGTACTGAGACTTCAACGTCCAGTGCTCTTATGAAAGACAGCGGTGTCTGTGGTTGAACAGAGCTGCATGGGACTTCTGATTTAAAAAACAAAAACAAAAAAAACCCAGTGTGGTTAGTGTTGTCACTTTGACTCAACAGTGTGTGTAAGAAAATGTGTTTTGTGCAGTGGTGGAATGTAACTATGTACATTTACTTCAGCGCTTACTTAAACATGTCATACTTCTACTTGTATCTTGCACTTCACTAAATTTGCTACATTTATTTATTTGTTACTTTGCAAATCCAAATTGATAAAAAAATATAATCAATAAATAATGATGATGTATTACTGTATTATGGAAGCAAACTATCCGGTAGTAAAAAAATAAGCCCCATTTTAAGCAGCTGCAACACTGGAGTAATGTACACATTCACACATCCATATTATAATATATTACAGTTATAGTAATGAAAATTACTCTGCTTGTCTGCACAATAATTACTTTTTGTACTTTCAGTGAAATTTAATGCAAATACTTTTGTACTTTTCTCATAAGTAACATTTTGAATGCAGGATTTTTACTTGAGCATTACCGCTACTGATTTTGTGTCACATTTCTATTGCTTTATCAAAGGTTCCAACATCTGCACTTCCCAAGGAGTCACCACTTGTCAGCAGTGCTTGGCCGTTCACCCTAGCTGTGCGTGGTGCTCTCAGGAGGTAAAAACACCAGTAGCACACATACACACAAACTGTGTCTGGTCGCCCCTCCCATTAATCACTCTGCAACAAGTTAGAACAGAATCCTCATTTCCCAATAGCATTCTTCGTCTTGTCATCCTCTGGTGTTTGTTCGTTTACATGCTCATACACTGTAGCCTCTGAACTGTTAAGGTAAAAAAAAAAAATAAAAAGAGGGAAGTGGGTGTTGGCCTCAGGTCTCCTGAGCATGAGATACCTGAGCCTATATCAGCATCATATCATAAATGCAAACCTTAAAAGCTTCTTGTGTCAATGCTTAATTCAGGTGTATGGGCAGGGGGGCTCCAGCGCGTCCCGCTGCGATCTGAAGCAGAATCTGCTGGATGGAGGGTGCAGCTCAGCAGCAGTTGAGTTTCCCTCCAGCACTCTGAATATTCAGGAGGACAAAGCGCTCAGCAGCAAGGCCTCTGGGACTGCCGATGATGTCACTCAGATAAAGCCTCAGAAACTCCGCATGACACTAAGACCAGGTACATTAACACCCAACCAGACATCCCAAGTAAGACCAACTCACTCACTCACTCTGTGGTCCTCTGCTATTTCCCTCTCAGGAGATTCCAAGCATTTCACTGTGACAGTGAAACAGGTGGAGGATTACCCAGTGGACCTCTACTATCTGATGGATCTTTCATATTCGATGGAAGACGACTTGTATCGCCTTCAAACCTTGGGCAGTGAGCTTGCCGCGACTATGGGCCGCACCACAAGCAACCTACGCATGGGGTTTGGAGCCTTCGTGGACAAGACCACGTCCCCTTACATGTACATGCACCCCCCAGAGGCAGTGAAAAACCCTTGCTATGGGTAGGTGTGGGTTCTACTGTTGGTGTTACATTTGAGGAGGAGAAGGAGCTGAAGTGGAGATTTTCTAATATTCAGAGGAAGTCTGTCCAGTTCTCCTTCACTGATTTCCTATCCCCCCATTCACCCGTTCAATACATACAGAATGGGCACGACATGCCTGGCTCAGTTCGGGTTCAAGCACGTGCTGTCGCTGACGGAAGAGGTGGGTCGCTTCACTGAGGAGGTGGAGAAACAGAAGGTGTCTAGAAACAGAGACGCTCCGGAGGGTGGATTTGATGCTGTCATGCAGGCTGTGGTGTGCAAGGTATGAAGATGTAATCACATACGTACTGTATACTCGTTGATGTGGAAACTGTATGCATTCAAGCTGAAGTTTCTTATTCTTATCATGTGTGCAACAGTTACAGAGAAGCTGTCGTTGGCAATGAAAATCTTAGGCCTCAGGCACCCTCCAACGATGCTTATTAAAGGGACACTTTGTCAATTTTTAACCAGCTTTGTATCATAGCTGTGGTTAATATTTGTGGTCAACTCATCTCCAGCAGACTTTGGCTGTAGAAACATATTTTAGCTTATTGTTTAACTGTAATTCGAGAATGTTTGTGACCAGCTGACCTTCACATTGTTTCCTGTGTCAAAAAGGCCAACCAGCAGGCGCATTTATGTGTATGTTGCGGCACAGGGCATTCTGGTAGTTGTAGGTTTTCTATCTCTTGATCAAAAAGCGAATGCCGCAGCCCCTTCCCTTTGTTTCCTGTGGTCATGTAGCACCAATTGTAAAAGCATTTTACTGCATAGACAGCCCAGTTTTATGACAAGACCAACTAAATGAGGTGTGACTTGACTTCTGTGTTCGTCATTAGGACAGGATTGGCTGGCGTTCAGATGCCTCACACCTTTTGGTATTCACCACTGATGCCAAAACTCACATCGCTCTGGATGGACGTATAGCTGGGATTGTCCGACCCAATGATGGACTGTGTCACCTTGATAGTGACAATGTTTACAATGAAACTACAGTGCTGGTAAAGGCAAACAATAAAGTCATTTACTTTGGTTTGTAATCATTTTGCTTACACTGAAGACAATTTACTCCCTGTGTCTTCCAGGACTATCCCTCTCTGGCACTCATGACAGACAAAATGTCTGAAAACAACATTAATTTGATTTTTGCTGTGACCAGTGTTGTGGAGGAGCTCTACAGGGTAAACCAGCTGTAACCGTTGTGCCACAGCATGAATTTAAGTTATTGATATGAACAACACAAAAACTGGGTCATCATCTTGTGGTTATGTCCGTCTTCCCAGGGGTACAGTAAGCTCATACCAGGCACAACTGTGGGAATGCTGTCCGATGACTCTGGGAATGTTATTAAGCTCATTGAGGAGGCTTATGCAGTAAGTTTCTCCTATAGGACCATAAGTGGAACTTGAGAGCTCATGTAATCTATTTTTTTATGTAAAAAGGTATGATGCATTTTAACCGTTTGACCTCATAACGTTGTGTCGAATAGAGAATTCGTTCTAAAGTGGAGCTGGAGCAACTGGGAGTCCCAGAAGAATTGAACCTCTTCTACAATGCCACTTGCCTCAATGGAGAGTTTATCCCTGGACTCAAGTCCTGCTCTGGCCTCAAGATTGGAGACACAGTACGTATCTGTTGAGGCACATGCACATCTGGTGTCTACACACACAGAAGGTCACAGAGACACTTCCTCCTCTGCAGGTGTCATTCAGCGTGGAGGCTCAGTTGCGTGGCTGTCCCAAAGAGAAGACCCGTACCTTTACCATCAAACCTCGAGGCTTCAAGGATGCCCTGGAGGTCACGGTGGACTTTGCCTGTACCTGCGACTGTGAGGCAAAGGCTGTACCTGACAGCCCCGTCTGTAACAATGGCAATGGGACCTACGAGTGTGGCGTGTGTCAGTGTCATCCTGGTCGTCTGGGCCCACGATGCGAGTGCTCCGTGGGGGACTACAGTCCATCGGATGATGTCAACTGCATCCCGAAGCCAGAGAGCCCGATCTGCAGCGGGAGGGGTGACTGTTTGTGTGGACAGTGCTCCTGCCATGCAAATGAGTTTGGTCAGGTGTGGGGCAAGTACTGTGAATGTGACGACTTCAATTGCTTACGCTTCAAAGGGGCACTGTGCTCTGGTGAGTAGATGTACTTTTATATCCTTTTATATTCTTTTTTTTAACCTGTGTGATTAAATGTAAGTATATTTTTTGAACTGATGTTTTTGTCATGAGTACTTTCACAAAGAAAAGCCATTAACCAATCATGTTGCTCTTATACTCATGAGGATTATCATATGTGTCCACAGGAGCCATCATTCCATGCTTCCTATTCATTATTTATGTAGCGTGCAATGCATTCTGGTAGCGCTAGGTTGCGTTTGAAGAAACAGGGCCCCACTTCTCAATTGAATGAAGTTGAATCTAGGCCTCTTGATGCAAATCAGGCACATCCAGCGCGAGTGACCACTTCTGGAAACTCCCCAAAAAATGTCTCAGCAAAAGTGCTGGCTTGACAGTGCTGTGTGCGCTCCTGGAGGAAGAACGAGAACAAATGAAAAAGTTTTGTAATAAGTTTAAACAACTGCACAATGGATTACTTGCTTGTAAACAACCCTCGCAGTAATGATGCCTTTGAACATGACGCCAGCCTTCTTCTTCTTATGCTTCTTTTCTGTGTCCCACTACATCACAATGGTTTCCTGCCGGTTGGCGACACCCATGTAAAGGAGCAGTATCGCCATCAAGTGGGCAGGAGTGTATAACGCTTCAGGGTCAAGTGAACGATCAAGCGGAAATTTACACACAGGTGTAAGGCAGCTGAAAAAATAGTTCCACAATTGAGATGAATAGCGAAAACACAGATGGAAACCACAGTTTGCTACGATTTTTATGTCACAACATCAACGAACACCACTGACCACTCGGTGAGTTTCATGGCTTTGAAAACGAACATTTAGGGTGGTTTTAGGACAGGTTCACACATGGCCATAGGCAGCAGTGTTAAGCCAGGCAGGGGAAAGCCACATTCTC